CCCCATTTGAGTCCTGGCATGTGTATGTGGTGCTTTTGTTTTGTTTTGTTTTGTTTGCTGTGGAGTTGTTTGAGTTTCTTGTATCTTTTGTATATTAACATTGCTCACAAATATTTTCTCCCAATCCGTAGACTGCAGTTTCATTTTGTTGTTTCCTTTGTTGTTCAGAGCTCTTTTAGTTAGATGAGATCCCCATTACTTTTTTTTTTTTCTTGAGCTTTTGGTGTGATATTCAGAATATCTGTGCTAAGGCCAGTGTCAAGACTAGACGCAGCAGTCTCTCTTTCGGATGTTGTGATTTAGATTTAAAATGTCCCACAGAAGTCTTTTGTGCTCAGAGCTGGGGCTTTGGGAAGATAATTGGACCGACTGTGGGGTGCTGCACTCATCAGGGGATTGATCCCTTGATGAGTTCCCGGATGCTTCTCGCAGATGGGGTAGGTCTGGTCTGTTGGGGGTGAGTCACTTGGGGTGTGACCTGGAAGTGTGTATTGTTCCTAGTTCCCTCTCTCTCTCTATCTCTCTCTTTCTCTCTCTGTCTCTGTGTCTCTGTCTATCTATCTGTCTGTCTGTCTGCCTCTCTTTCTGTCCTGATTGCCATGAGGTAAGCAGCTTTCCTGTACAATGCCTTTCCACCGTGCCATTTCTGCCTGGGAGCCAGCGGTCCACAGACTGAATGCTGTGAAAGCTCTCCGCCCTTCAGTTGTGGGTTTCTGATATTTTTTCCCAGCAAAAGAAAAACTGACCCAAAGGAAATTAAATGAGGATCCAAGGAGATACCTGCACTCTCAAGTCGATTACAACATTATTCCCAATCACAAGATATGGAAACAGCCTTCGTGTTCCTGGGTGGGTGGATGGATACATAAACTATAAACACACAATGGAATATTATTCAACTTTAAAGTAAGGGATTCTGCCGTGTTTAACGACATGAATGAACCTGTAGGGAATTGTGTAAGTAAAATAAGCTTGAGAGAGAATGAAAAATACAGTATGATCTTATTTATATGTGGAATCTTTCTAAGAGCTAAAAGTATGTGAGGTATGACCAAGAAGTACAATGTTTAAATTTTTTAAAATATAGTAAAAGACACATTGCTATGAATCTCTCTCAAAATATTCCTTCTCACTTTAAAGACACATCTCATTCTTCTTGCCACTTTCTGAAGCAATTCTGGAAGTCCTCTTTCATGATTCTAGTGCTCATTTTGCTATGTATATCAAAACATCACGTTGTACACAAATATGTTGGAGAAAAGAAATGGCACTGTGAGAGGCTGAGCAGCCAGGGCTGCCTGGATGTCCTAAATCTATTCGAAATGTGTACCTCTCACGGTCATTTTTACTTTGGAGAAGAACCAGAGTAATACAGTGCAAGAGCCAGTGAATAAGTAACGTTTTTACAAGCATGCCGTTCTGTTCGATGGCTCTTAGCAGCACCATTCACTACATTTGTATCATGTTGTAAAGACACTTATGAAAGAGCACTCCCAGAACTGCTTCAGAAAGTGGCAAGGATGATGGGAGAACTGTATTCAAAGCAAAGGGGAATACTTTGAGAATGATTAATGGAAATATGTCTTTTACTATAATAAATTTTAAAAGAAATATTCACCATATATTTTGATCATAACTTGTAGAAACAGAAAATAGAATAATGGTTTCCAAGTTTAAGGAAGAAATGTAAGATACAGGTCAAAGAGTACAAAGCTGACGTTCAGGTGACAAATGCAGAGATTTAACACACTGTGTGAGGGCTACAGTTAGTAATGTTTTATTGAACACTAGAAATTGGTTCAAAGAGTAGATTTTACATTCTCTTACCAATGAAAATTTGGATAACTATGAGCTGATGTCTATTCTAGTGTGCTTGGCTCTAGTGATCATTTTGCTGTGTCTATCAAAGCATCATGTTGTACACAAATATATTCAAGAAAAGGAATGGCACTTAGAGGCTGAGGCAGGAGGATCACAATTTCAAGCAGTGTGGGCATGTGGTAATTTAACAAGACCCTGTCTCAAGATACAAAATAAAATAAGGGCCAAGGATATAGCTCAGTGCAAAGGCTCTATGTTTAATCTTCAGTATCGTAAAACAAAACCTGAAAGGGTGTGTTCTTGTCCCTGGCTCCTTCTTTGCTGTTTCACAGCTGCCGTGAGTTGAACAGTTTCCCTCCACCAGGCTCTTCTGCCATGCGGTGTGTGTCTCAGAGTCGGATCAGGGTGGACTGAACTTTCTGAAAACGAGTCAAATAAACCTCTCCTGGGGGAGGGTCAGACTCTCCTCAGCAGGGGTCAAGTGTTTTGTCCAACAACAGGAAAGTAACTATATATACAATGGCTCACTCAGAAACACATGCTGTCATGTCCCCTGCACATTTACTGTATGTTCTGTGTTGGTTACGTTCTTCATCCGGAATATGATCCAAACTATCATCCTGTCTCAGGCCTTCCCAAATAAACTCTCTTTATCTTTCACATGCTAGACCAAAGGATTAGCTATTCATTATATTCTAATTTTCTTCGGAGAATTATACATTTACCTATTCATTTATTGATTGATTGATTCATTCATTCATTCAAAAATTTACGATTTTGGCAGGAAATGGTCTAGAGACTGCAGGTACAAAGAAGAATAGATGCCGCAGAATTCTTAATCTTAAGGTCTTTGTATTGTAGTGGGTACAAAATAACAGTTAAAAAGCAGTCAAGCTGGGCATAGTGGTCCATGATTATAGGGAGTCAGGGGGCTTGCAGTCTCTCTGAAGCCTTGATTACCCTCCTCCTTAGCCTTTTATTGGGATACAAACAAAAAGCAGCAAAAGGGCAATTGGGAGGATAATTACCAGGGTTGGCGAGGACAATACAACTCAATTATCACAGGAATGAGACTTGACTTGGTTAGGGTTAGGGATGTTATCATTCCTTCGGGCATATCTCAGCAGGGCATCTAGTGCTGTCCCAGGGCTTTCCACAGGGACACAGGTCCTACTCTCACTTCCTTTTACACTAATGCGTTTGCTAAACTTCCTCCAGAATCAAACAATCGTATGGCTTGGTGAGGCCGGAAGTCTCACATAGGTAATACATTGAAAGATAAACTAAAGAATGTCCTTCTGCACATTTCCCCCTTTTTGTTTTTCTGCAATCCTTTGAAGGATTACTGAGAAGTCTGCTATTTGTCTTTCTGTTTCCCAGCATTTTCTATAGCCAGCATGGCTAGAAACATGTGACCAGCTGTAAACCCTTGTCCAGTGCAGTCCAACAGCTTCTCGGCATCATGGGTCAATTTTGGCGCATGAGTATAATACTGGCACTCTGGGAGGCTGAAGCAGGAGGGTGACAAGTTTGAGCCCAGCCTGTGTATCTTAGCAACCAGGGAGACGCTGCTTCAAATTGAAATGTATGAGAAAAGGCTGGGGAGGTAGCTTAGTGCGAAGGCTTCGAGTTCATTCCCTAGTACCACAAAACAATCAAATAAACACAATAATTTCAGATAAAAATTTTATGAAAAAGAAAATGTCATTTAGTGGTAGTCATGGAATAATGAGTAAAAGCCTTACTAAGCAGCAGGTTACCCATAAAAGAAACACTAAAAGTTGGTATCAAGTTTCCTGTGCTGCTTATGTAGAAAACTGATTGACCCAGCACTATTCATTGAAAGACTAGACTTTTCCTGTCCTTCCTTATTCAAATTCCTTTATTTTTGATTAATACCATTTTTATGTTCGAGTATTCCGTTCAAGATGCAATAAATTTAGAGGATATATTGGGCTTCTTTTGGCCTCAACAATTTCTTACACTTCACTTGTCTCTGATGACCTTAACAGTTGTATTAAGTGTGTCCTAGTAATTGTGTAGAATGTGCCTAAATTAGAATAGTGTAATTATTTCTTCACAATTCAACTAGAATGATGAAGTTTGGGAAAGAAGACCACACAGTACAGTGTCATTCTTGTAAATCACATTAAGGGTGCATGCTATCAATATGCAGATAATTATTAATGTTACACTTGATCTCTTGGCCCAAGTAATGATAATCAGATTTCTTCTCTGTAAGGTTACTTGTTTTCCATATTGTTCTTTTTGAAATAAAGTCAACATGCACAGCTAACATGTAAAATATTGCAGTAATGTCCCTTCTCCCCGAGGGAGAACCGCTACATAAATTACTTTGAATTCTTCTCCATTTATCTCTTCTCCCCAATTAGTTTTTATATCCAATCATTTATTTATCTCAATTGTGTAGTTTGAATTACAGTCTAATAGTACTTATTTTGTTGTTCATTTCTTTCCAGTTTTGGTGATCAGAAGCTCTTTCAGTAGGTTCCTACATGCCTTTAATTCCCCCACTATCATGGTTTTTTTTTAGTTCTTCTCTACTTCGTAATACTCCAAGATAACTCACATATGTTTCTTGTCCAAGCCCTAATTCAGTCATTCTTTCCATTCAGAAAACCATGATTTGTTTCACTTAGAATAGTGTAAGAAACAAAGATCTGCCAGCTACATGTGTGTACTACCCACATGTATTTGCATAACTGTAAATATTTCTGTGCTTATCCACCATTACCTACTACATTATGCATGAATTCGTACTGTTGCCTCCATCTCTAACCCATGATCACTTGAATCCCTTTGGCATTCTCCCTTTGCTTATCTGCAGCGTATCACTGTAACACAGTGAAAAACTTGGTCCCGTCATTGACCACCTGTTTAATGGATGTACAATCCCAGCACACGTGTGTAATCATTTTGGCATGGTTGACCTGCACCCCATGTGAAACAACTTTATCACCTATAGTACAGTGCTTGTGTGTGTAAGGTTCCTTTTGCCTTCAGTATTACAGTCTTTATTCATGTGCTTTAAGGAAGCATCTTTTTCATGATTCCTTCAGAGAGATTATTTCGTATACTTGTACCACAGTTACTTTCTTTTTGTTTTTAATTTTTTGAGACAGGGTCTCACTATGTAGCCCAGGCTGTCCTCGAAATCTCTGCAATCCTCCTGCCTCAGCTTCACGAGTACTGGGATGACAGGTATGTACCACCATGCCCTGCAAACTACTTTCTTTTATGGCAGTTTTCATTTCATCCTGGGCTCCCCTCACATCATAAAGTATTTGCTAAATTTACAAACCTTAAGTTCTACTCTTTGTGCTGGTAAGTTCTAATTTTCAACAAATGCAGAATGAAATTCTGTATTCACCAGAATAGTATCATAACCAACAGTTTTATCACCTTAATAAATCCTTAATTTTTTGAAAGGTCTAACATTTGCTTGTTTAGCTTCTCAAGAATTCCTAGCAACAACAGATGTGTCTATCCTTTCTGTAGTTTTTCCCCTTTCCACACTGTTCCTTTCATTTATGCTTTCCAAAAGAAAAACAATAATGAATGCTTGTATAGTTATTTGTCATCGCTCTCTATATTCTTTGATGGAGTGTTCAAATCTTTTGCCTTTTTGTTTCTTAATATTGTTTCTTTCTTGTTTGGTGTCTTATTTTTGAGTTCTAAGTTCCTTTGTACATTTTGGATATAATTCCTTTATCACATCTGTGCTTTGCAAATATTTTTCCCAAGCTTGTAGCTCTTTTCAGTCCCTTAACAGTCTCTTGTAGAACAGAGTATTTTAATTTTAATTAATTCCAATCTATCAATTTTTCATGGATTTTGTTCCTGTTGTATTTTAAAACTCATCGCTAGGGCTGAGGGGGTGACTCAGTAGTAGCCTGCAAGCTCAGCACGCATGCGGTGAACTCTGGGTTCACTCCCCAAAATGAAAAACAAAAACTAAAACAAAACCTCGTCATTAAATGAATCGAAAATAATTTATATTTTCTTTCACGCTTTCATCAATGAATTTTATAGCTTTTGTACTTTATTTATGGCTATGATTTATTTTGAGTTGATTTTTTGAAAGGTCTACCATTTATATCTAGGTTCATGTTTCACCCAGAAATCCAATTATTTTAGTACCATCTGTTCCAGTCCTTAAACACAGAACACCTCTCCTTTTCAAAGGGTCTTTATTTTTATTTTTTGACATAGGCTGGTTTTTGATACATAATCCTGCATGGAAAATCTCTTTAATATTCAGTGTTACACACAATAAGCGTTTGTTTCTTGCCCGCCTGTCTGCAATTGGCTGAGGCGCCTGGTGGAGTGGCTGGGCCAGCTGGACTTGGCCACTCACTCAGGGACATCTGCTCCATGTGTTTCTTAGCTTCGTTGGACCACTGGCTTCTTGAGTGCCAGATGTTCAGGAAAGCCAACAGGAACGCATGTGTCTCCTAAGACGTTAGCTTGGAACTGACACATTTTCTAGTCTACCCATAGGTAGGACTTGGTAGCCCCAGCCCAACCACACTGGAGTGGGCGAATACTTTCTTCTCTGTAGGAGATAGGAGTAAATAGGAGCTAAAAACTGGATCCAATCTGTCACACCTATAATTTTTTGTTCTCTCTAGATTTCCTGTTGATTCTTTTTCTTGCAATCAGTTTTTTATTTCTAAATGCTCTTCTTCATTTTTTGCCTACTGTTTTTTGGTATAGTACTTTTGCTTTTTAAACAAAAATATATTCTAATCTATACTGAACAATCGTTCTCTTTTTAAAGATTTTTTTGGTCCTAGTCTCCAAATTTCCATGTCTTAGAGGTTTTATTTTCTTTATTATAGCTCTGTGTGATACATGAGAAACAATCTTTAAATTTCTGGTAATACTTCTTTGATTTGAGAGAGGACACTGTCACTAACTGAAGTCCTGTAAACATGATCAGGGATTATTGGCTGGTAGTTTATGAAGAATAACTAGGTGGCAGACCCAGCTACTGTTTTTCCCACACCATGTCCACATCTGTGGGCTACTGGACACAGGCTTCTCAGTGTTCCCTATGCAGACTCATCCATGCGCTATACCATACCATGTCCTCTCCACTGCACATTCTCCTGATAAGAAACCTCATGTGTTCTCTGGGGGTATGAATGAGCAGCAGTGTGTCCCTGTGTTGGTTTTGGGCTTGTTTTGCAAGGAGAACAACATAATATAGGACACACACTTTATGCAATTATTTATAAGTCACCCAAAGAACAGTATACAAAACAGTGTAGGAAATCTGTCCACACACTAAGACCAAGGAATCCAGCTGAGGGCCTGGATCCCACAACAATGTCCTACATGAGTTGAGCTGAATACCCAGAGCTCATAACAATGCCTCCCACGAATCCAACTGGAGACCCAGAGCCCATGACAACGTCTCATGCAGACCTGTTTCATGGATCTGCTGGAAAGGCCCAAGGTCAGTGGTGGAATCTACAAAGTCTGTGCCAGCAGGAAGAAGGATCTGTGCTAGCAGGCTGAGGGATCTGCACTGGAGCCAGGAAGTGATGCTCAGAAGAACCAGAGCTCCCCCAAAAGGTGCCACAGCCATCCTCGACAACACTGAGGTCCCAAGCTCCTCCGATGATCAAGATGGCTGAGTTCTCATCAGGGAAGCCAACACAGCAAGCTTTTCCAGGAGGCCGGCAGTGCACCATCTTCCCCTCCAGAACCAGGAAGCTATACTCAAAGTGAGGACCAGAGCTCCCCAAAGTGAACCAAAGCCATTCTCGGTGCCAGCGAGGTCCCGAGCTCCTCGGAGGATGAAAACAGCCAAGTTCATCAGGAAAGCCAGCTTCCCACTGTCTCTCTCAGTTCCCAACAACCTGCTTCTTCTTCTCCAGGTCTGCCTCTTATGCTGCTGGCAACAGTCCTCAGGTGGGCCTCCCACACCCAGCACCACAGTTACTCAGTTCAGCTGGGGGTTATAAGTTGACCACCAGTTATCAATCCACTACAGTCCCTCAGAATTGCAGACAGGATCTGAGTAAATAATTGAAACTGACCTTCAAGTGTTGACAATCTAGCTTAGAATCAATATACCTCGACTTCAAAGGAACTTGTATATCCAGTTCCTGAGTTTTCCAGGTTTGTGCTATAAATTATCTTGTTTCTTTTTGTTCTTTTTTCCCCGTACCGGGAATCCAACTCACCACGTCGCCCATGCCAGGCAGACACTGTGCCGCTGAGCTAAATCCCCAGCCCCTATCTTGTTTCTTATAGGTGTCTTCTTTTGCAGATTCTTAGATTTCTGTCGTCTTGTCTGTATGTCCGTTACTAATATTTGTGTGCTATTTAATTTCCAAATAGTATATGTAGCTCTTTCTCATTTGCTATTATCTTCCCTCTCAATCTATTTTATCTTTTGGATTTTCCACGTTTTAAATTTTATCATGTTACTGGGACAGTAAAATCAAATGGAGAAAAATTCCTGTGTGTGGCTTGCCATATCTGACCAGAAGTCAGAATATTTTTTAAAATTCCGGTAGAAGCCTGTCTCAGCCCTGTTTAAATCTACACGACAGAAGCTCTCCAGCATAAATCATTGCATGTAACTGAAATTCTTTCCTAATTAAGCAACAGTTCCCTATTTCCCCTCACTGATGGCTGTCCACCACCATTCTCTTTTCTGCTTCTATAACTTGAGTTATTTTAGCTACCTCATATAAAAGGAATCACACAGTATTTATCTTTTTGTGGCTGGCTTATTGCAAATGTCTGATTTCTTTCATTTTATATGCTGAATAACATTATTATAGACATCTACCACATTTTCTTTATTTTTTCTTCTACTAACATTCGGTTTGCCTCTATATTGTGACTGATGGGAATCACGCTGCAATGAACACGAGAGTGCAGAGATCCCTGAAAATCCTGATTTCAGTGTTTTGGATATAAACACAGATATGAGGTTGATGGACCATATGGTCCCCTATTTTTAATGTTTTAAAGAACTTCTATAATTTTTCCATACTGATTATACCATTTTACCTTCGCACCAACCATATGTAAATCTTCCAATTTCTTCACATTCTTATCTACAGGTATTACGTTTTTTATTGTGCTAGGAGCTCTTGTAACAGATATGATATCTCCTTATAATTTCTGCCTGCATTTCCCAAATGGAGCACATTTCATATAGCTGGAATTCACATATTTCATGTGTATGTTCTCTTGAAGAAATGTCTATATCAAGATTTGCTCATTTTTAAATTGAACTAATTTTTTGTTTTGTTTTGTTCTTTTTCCGGTACCAGGAATCGAACTCATGACCTCGTGCTTGCCAGGCAGGCTCTGTGCTGCTGAGCTAAATCCCCAGCCCCTAAATTGAGCTACTTTTATCATTGAGTTTGAGGAAATTTTTCTATATTTTGGATATTAACCTTTCATCAGAGCTTGTGAATATTTTTATCCCACTCTATAGTTGGCCTTCCACTTTGTCGTTCCCTGTGCTGTGCAGAGGATTTTTAGTTTGGTGTCATCCTGTTTGTCTAGTTTTTATTTTGTTGCTTGTGATTTTTGTGTCAAATCCAAGAAATAACTGCCAAGAACAGTGTAAGAAGCTCACCTCTTACATTCTCTTCAAGGAGTTGTACAGTTTTGTGTCTTATACACTTATAGGTAAGATACACACCTACACAGCAAGAGTGTACCTACACCAAAGCAAGGCAGTGCTGTGCACTCTTCAAGCTACACTGAGAGAATTGCTCCCACATTGTGTTCTTGCAAACACCAAACAGAAAAATTTCATACGTACAGTAAAAAGCACCAAGTTTTTGGATGTGTTGGGTATATTTAGAACCTGGATTGGAGTGACACCATCATGGATATAGGCATATAAACAAACTATTCAAATTATATTTAGTAAATATATGAAAAAGTTTTATAACAGTTAAACTTTAATAAAGCTGAAAGAAAATTCACCAGTGGTTCCACGTGAAACTCGGTTTGAGTTTTAAACTTTGTAAGGTAGAGCCAGGTGTGGTGGCAAACACCTGTGATCCCAGCACGCCAGAGGTTGAGGCAGGAGGATCATGGAAATTTCGAGGCCAGCCTGGGCTACATAGTGAGTTCAGGACCAGCCTGAACTGCGTAAGAGGTGTTGTCTCAAAAAAAAAAAAAATTTTGTATGGTGACACTTAACTATTTCTCAAAGATTCCATCCCCGTTCTTATCAATCAGTATTAAAATAAATTATTTTCCTCTTTTACCTCAGGGCATCTGCATGGAACTGTCCCTTCTTTCTATCCTTCTTTGTCTTACCTCTAGTAGTATTCATCTCTCACCTTAAAAATCACCTAATCTTTTCACTCCCCTGGGCTTAGCTGCAAGTCTACTTTGTCCTCTTCTGTGCCATCCTGCGCTATGCTAGTTGCTATGGCACTGCACTGCCGTGCGCACTTAGCAGTCCGGGTCGCACTCCACACTGGGAAGGCAGGGCAAGGCCCCCACCTTCTCCACTATAATAACATAAACCCTCACTATCTTTGCAGCAGGTACTCAATGTCTGATGAGTGAATATTAGATGAACATTAGATTCTTCTAAGGTCTCGATTAACATCTTGGCTTTATCCATTAACCATTTTTCTTATCTTTGAAAAACAAAGGGGAGAGGATTTAGAGGAGTAGTCTGAGGTCAACTTCTGATTCTTCTACTGCTTGTCTGATCCCAAGAGATCGAAGTTCCTCCAATTTCCATTCTCTTGAATTAAACTGCATTTAAAATGTAAGCTTTGCTTTTTGCATAAAGTGATACATAGATAATTGTATAAATTATACAAATTTATACAATTATACAAATTTATACAAATGTAGAAAATAAGTAAAAATTAATTTTTATTTAAAAAGCTATGAATACTTAGTATTGTATCCCCTGCCAAGTTTATTGCTGTACACCTATGTTTTCTGTAACAACTTCTGGTTAAATTAATAATCTCTCACGTTTCTTAAGTGTCTGTAGTAATGTAATGTGATTAAGAACAAACGCATAAATGTGTTCCTATTATTAACACAATTTTAGGGAATTATAAGTGTATTAAATATTTTAAATGTTTCAGACAATCATATTTTGTACTAGGTCCTGTAGGCTTATTTAAACATTTTTAACTTTAATTCCTTGCTCATTTCACATACTTTACAGCAGTAATTGTAAAACAGATTGGCAAAATGTAAATAAAATTTTAGCCAGTTCAAACAATTCTGTTTATTACCTTCTGCTTCTATAATGTGCAAGATAATCTAATATCATGGCACTGTATCATAGAGCCAAGTGCAATTATAATCACTTCTTAGTTTAGGAGATTGCATTTTATATTCCATGTTGTTTGTGGAAGTCCTGTGTGTAGAGAATAGGAATCTTTTTTAAACTATTTTTGCACAGTTAGTTGAATAATTCCCAGAGAATGTACAATAATCAATTTCACAAGTTATTCCTATATTTAATTGAGTGACCTTTTTGGATCCACCAAAAATCATTTTTAAACAATTTGTCTCCTTTTATATGCAATATGGTATTCAAGTCTCTATTAATCATCACAATTTTCATTCAATTGCCTAGAAATCTGAAAAAGAAATAAAAATATCAGATAAAGAGTATTTCACAAATGTCTCTTTGCTCCCTGAATCATTCAAGAACATAATCTGAGAAGACAAGCCTCTTTGGACTTCTTAGATAGCCATGTCTTTGTGGGAAAATATTCATTGTTTCATAGAGATTTTTATAGAGAACCATATGACTTGGAAAACATGTTTGAATGTGGATTATAGTCATGCTTCTAAACTACCAACTTTATCTGTTTCAAATATATTTTGAACAATTAGTTGGCAAAGTATTTACAGCCCCTTTAAGAATAGCAACTGTTTGTCCCATTGATGTGTATAGCACTCTGAGGCAGTTATTGTAGATACTAGTTCAGTTATTTGAACACTTGCTGTGAACCAAGTATTATTTTATGCCCAACACATGTGTTAACACTATGAATTAAACAGCCTTTTAACACGGATAATTTAATATCTGTATTTTATGAATGAGAGAAAAGGGGCCCATGATGACATAGATAGCAGGCAGCAGGTCCCAGACACACAACCAAACATCTGGTTCCGTGATCCCTCTCTTTTTCTTCTCTGCAGTACCGCAGAACCCTGGCATCATCAATTCGAAGTTAAAGTGACAAGGAGACTAGTGTTTATTATCCAGGCATAATAATTTATGGATTGGAACCATTCAGCCTCAGGAGGGCAAACTTTGCACACTGAAGCCAGTTCAGCTGTGTCAGAGAATGTTCTGCCACACATTTCTAATTTACCTAGAAGTTTCCTAGCAGCCGAAGATCCCTAGTGTCTACTGTGGATTTTTATTGCATTGTGGGTCACCAGAAAGGAAAGCGACTTGCCACACACAGTTTCACGATTTGCCACACACAGTTCGAGTGTGCTAGTGGTTGATGTATGAAGTGTCAGAAATGCCTTAGTCAAAATTTTCCTGACTCTAAAGCTTTGAAACTAAAACCATGAAGACAAACCCAGCGTGCTTGTCATATTTGGGCAGAAATACTCAGAAAAACCAGATATTTCCTTTTTTCTTTTTCCTCCAATCAGGCATTTAAAACTTTTTAAAAAATTAATTAAGTTCATTGGTACATTTTAAATATACACAATGAGCACTTTCATCATAGGGATTGATTCATACCGATATTTCATCATACCTGTACATTGCTTATCTCAGTTCCTCTTTTTTAACCTCATTCCCTATCCTCCCTTATCAATCCCTCTTTCCTCCTCATTTACAAAAGCTTTATTTCCATTTCTCCCTCTTTTCTCTTTTTCTTTCTTTTCCCCTACCTTCATTTCCCCCTCTCCCCTCCCTGGTTCCTCTTCCTGATTGAGCACTTTCTTTGGATAAAGAAAATTTTTTAAATAAAAAATCTTTTTAAACATCTGTTCTGTCCCAGGAATTGTCAGCTTCAGTTGAAAGTCCTTAATACAAACAATATGGTTCTCCCTGTCAAATGGAAGCATATTGAGAGTCTGTGTGGAATGTCATCATCAACCAACCCTCAAATCACAGTGCTTCAACCCGGAAACCCTTACTTTTGGTCTTGTAAAGCCCTAGGTAGCTGTATGCCATGGGATGCTCTCAATTCCAGGCTGCTTTCATGCTGTGGTGTCACCACTTTGAATTTTTTTGTGCTTCTATTCCCAAGATACTTGTTAGCAACATAAAGCCTGCTCCATGCATGCAAGATGGGGAGGTATAAGCTCTCAGTATGCCTAGGAGAAGAAACCAGAAGTTTCTACCGAATGAAGTCTACTGTTTCTAAATACTAAGAAAGGAGTAAGTGTCACCAGCAAAAACAGGGACCTATTCCAAAAGCAATGACAAAATTAATACAGTGTCCCCAATCTATATACCAAAAAGCTAAAAATCAGATAATTTAGTGGCAAATATGTCAATGAAAGTATCTTCCCTATCACACATTTTAAATTTGAACTACAGTTGTTCAAGCTCAGTAGCGTTGACACTCCTTTGTGGTGTGGGCCTTGATCGTGTGATATAGCAGCATCCCTGGCCCTTATCCACTACCTGCCAGTAGCCAACCCTCCCCTGTCCACACTCAGACATGACAGCCAAACGCAGTTCCGGATGTGGCCAAAGGGCTCCTCTGGGCAGAAACGCCCTATGTAAAAACTCATTGGCTGAAGTAGAGGGCCTCCCAATTATTTGTGGCAGCAAACATTAGTTTCAGCACAGTACAATATATGCGCAGGTATACGCTACATTATTTGAAGCATTTTATATGGGATCATTGTAACACAATAATTTGAAGACAACAGTTTTATTCTATTTGATGTATCAGGAAAGGGTTGGAGAAGGTGCCAGGCTGTGTCCACGTCACAAGATGAATGAATGAAACAGAGCCTAGTGAATCCAAGTTCCGCACTCCGGAACCACACTCTTCCCCTGCAAGGGTTTATCGCGTATTTCCTATGGGACAGGCACTGCTGAAGTTATGGTGGATAGAATATCTTGTTTCTGTTCTCTGTCCAGTTGATAAAAGGGATGACTTTAGGCAGCTGTGGTGGTACACACCTATAATCCCAGCACTCGTGGATGCTGAGGCAGGAGGATGGCAAGTTTAAGCCCAGCCTGAGCAATTTAGCTGTATCTGGTCTCAAAATAAAAAAATGAAAGAGGGCTAGAGCTGGAGCTAAGTGTTAGGCCCTCAGATCAGTCCTCAGTAACACACACACACACACACACACACACACACACACACACACACACTCACACACGAAACAGAGTAGCATAAAATTTTGTTGGCAATGATTAAACTCAGGGCTCTGATTGAAAGGCTCACCATGCTTTGGAACGAGCTGTGGCACCACGAGAACCGGGAGCAGAAGCAGAAATACAAAAATGCTAAGGAGGAAATGATAGCAGTAGGACAAAGAGAGTATTGACTTTTATTTCTGAATCTCCACAGGGTGAAAAAAGATGAACTAAAATGTAGAGTATGGCAAATGGATCAGAAGGAAGGAGAAAGATGACATCGAGCTGCGAGGTGGAAGAGCGATGAAAAACTGCAGGACACCCTCCACATGCAGGCACGAGTCCTCGGATGGGTCACAAGAGCCTGCAGCATCGACAGTTGGGTTCTGGTGCATTCCATCAAAGGAAAAGGAGAGGCCCCGCCGCAGAGACTCATTAAGGCTTTAAAACTCAGCTCAAATTGCATGCCTCTAAAGCAGAAAAAAAAAAAAAGCAATGAATAAGAATAGGATTAAAGAAGGACACCCTGCACAGAAATGATAAGCAACAGATCTTTTCAAAATGTAATCTGCTTGGAAGCTTGATGTTCAGCTCATTGGTCAGAGTTTGGAACTGTGGATACTTAGGGCTAACTAGCTTTGCCTTTTGATTTGTGCTATCTGAGTATTTAAATATCTCAATTATTTTTCAGCTTAGGGGAGAAGTTTTTAAAGAGTAGCGATTCCTCAGCATACGTGTGATTTTCTGTCCTTGTGTGATTTAAAAATCTGCCCAATTAAGTGACTACAAGCTGTACAAAGTATGCTAGACAGGCTTTGCTCATTTAGCTCTGACTTGTGACACTGAGGACTGTTACTGAGTAACGCGCATTTTAAATTCCTCATTTGGAAACCAGCGTGTTTGCTGAGGATCATTTTCTCCAACATGAACATCTCGGCCCTCAGTGTGCTTCACCCATCCGCACGCACCTGCCCGCTTCTCTCTTAGCCTGTGTTCTTACAATGCTGCAGGCTCACGCCATCCTCTCTCCCTTATCCTCCTGGCCCTTGGTCTGAAATTCTACTCCCTTCCTTATTGTTCTCATCAAAACCTTATCCCCTGATTCAAGTTTTCTTGAGCCACAGTGCCAAAAGTTTTTCTTGCTGTCATTGTCCTCCTGCTTGTGACTATTGGCAGTTATAGCATAGCTCGTGTTGGCTGAGGACAATCCTTCCTCACTGTGACTCACCTCATACCTCAATGTTCCCCAACACCCCTTGCAAAAATACTCAGCAGCTGCCAACTCAATGTGACAAGTATTGCAGGGGTAAAATTGGAAAAGCTCAAGATAAAGGAAGACTATGGGCAGAAACACTAGTGTGAACAGAAGTGCGAACTGGGGGGAAGGGAAGAGGGGAGGGAGCTTCAGTTTCTTTGTGACTTGGGGCAGGGAGGAGGTAGAGGTTTGTGGTACAAGAGGGACAGCATGCTCTGAGTTGAGTTCCTCAGAGCTTTCTCCTCATTGCCTGGGATCCTCTGGCTTCCCTGCACTGGGAAGAGGAGCCTTGGGCTATGGGGAGGGAGGTGCGAAGGAAGTGGCTGCAGTTTATCTGAACTTCTCTAAATAAAGTACCTGCACAATGCTTGACACAGTGTAAGTGTTCAATAAATGGCAAACTCTTCCTTCTCTCTGAATGGCACAGAGCAGGTGGCCATGCATAGTGGTAGAGCCATCTTTGACTCCACGTTTCTCTCACTCCTGAAATCTAATTCTCCGTCCATTCACGACACTCAAATTGTTAAAAGTATTTATTAGATATACAGTGTGGGTGTATGGAAGAGAATAAAATTCACCAAAATCCTACTCTCAATTTCTAGCAACTTTAAAATAGATTCGCAATCAAGCTGTCTTTCCCCTCCTACACATCACGATTACTATCACACTGGACAAAGCCACCTTAATCTCCCAAAACTGTTGCAATAGCCTCCTGCCTCCGCCCTTGTTACCCAGAATCTCCTCTCCCCATATGGGCCAGAATGATCATTTTCAAATGCAAAACATATCATGCCTTTCCTTGTTTATAATCCTCTGAAGTCCTTGCACAGAACACCCAAAGTCTTCGCTAAAGCCCACAAGGCTTTGTCTGACCTGGACCATGCCCCTGTCCCCTCTTCTACCTGAATTTATTCCAGGCACATGAACCTCCTTGGTCTTCCCAAACACTTCCAACACTCCACAGCACACAACCCCAACTCTTGTTATTTCTTACGTTTCCAAACTTCAGGCTTTCCCCAAAATGTTGCTTCACTAAGCAAGAGTTCCCAGATCTTGATTATAAAGTAACATCTATACCTTCCTCACAGTCTACTCGCTGTACTCATTTTATGGATGTGCATACGTATGTGTGTTGTACATGCTGGCAGTCTTCTCTCTAAACCCTGGAGAGGTAGGGCTTTGTTTCACTCAATGTTCTAACTCCCTCTCCTAGAGCAATGACTGGCAAATACTGTGCACTCAATAGATATTTATTGATTTATTGTCAACCCTGGAATTCTGTGATTTGGTAGTTCACATGTGTGTTGACATACAGTACTTCCTGATGAAGGGTCTGCATTTATCAGCCAGGAAACTCTAGAAAAGTGTGTCATTTATAGCTTAGAAGCAAGGAATATGCATTTCTCTGTGATTTCATTAACTTTCTCTTCTGTCTAAATTGGGTGTAAACTTTCAAGTACAGCACATTGTTGTGACTAGTTTGTAATATATTGCAGAATATTAAACTGAAGAGAGTTCGCTATAAATATATAGGTATAAATCCCCGGATGGCATTATAAATAATTGGCATTCAGTAGTTTATGGCTATGTCAAATTAATTGCCTCATAATTAAGCATGCAAATGAGCTACAAAATTAGGTAAACAATATAAGGGAAATAAATATACATGTTGCTGAGAAACTATGGTGAAAAAGAAAAAATAATTTGGGGTCCTAAATGATAGAGGATCCATGCCCTAAGAACAGCTGACTCTTAGTTAACTATTACTGCCTGACATTACTGCCTGAAACACACAAATCCTAAAGTCTGGCATGACAAAAGTTGTGCTGTTCATTCTGAATTATTTGATAGCTCTGAAATTTTACAACTACTTCCACTGTGTGGTTATACTTTTTGCACTAGCCTATACACAGCAAATTCTGTCTGTGTGGTTCAAATATTACCTTCTTCATCTACTCTTCCCTAAATCCCTTGATGGGTTTACTTGCTTCTTCCACTAAATTTAAAGCAAATCTAAAGCCATTGCCAAAAGCCACAGGGCTCTGTATGACCCACTGAATCTCCAGAACCAAACCCAAACTGTTAGGCAGCTTTCTGTTGCTGAGACAAAATGGCTGAGCACAACAGTGTAAAGGAGGAAAGACTCATTCGGGCTCATGGTTTCAGAGGTGTCAGTCCATGATTGCTTGTCACTCACTTTGGAGCCATGGTTAAGCAAATCATCACAATGGAAGAGTGTAAAGCAGCAAAACTACTCACCTCATGGCAGCCAGGAAAAAGAGAGAGAGAAGTACTGTCCAGACACATCACCTACCCTTCAAAGGCACTTCAACTATGACACAACTTCTAAAGATTCCTCCACCTTCCACTAGGGCCACCAGATGGAGACCAAGCCTCAAACACATGAGATGCCAGGCTTATTCCAAAGTATAAGTAGTTATAAATCCCAACTTTAATGCCCAGTATCTCCTTATGCTGAAGTGTCTTCTCATAATATCATCTATGCTGAAAAAATCATTCTATGCTTAAATTAAGGTAATAATACTAAAATGCATTCTGTAAGGATATTTTAAACTTTCCATATTAGTTAGGGTTATTTAGAGGAACAAGATCAGTAGAAAATACTTGCATAGTTAAGGTTGTCTTACAGGATCAGAGGCAGAAGAGTTCACAGTGGCTTTCTACACACTGGAGAGCCAGAGGGTCAGGGGCTGTTCAGACAACATGGTGGAAGCTGCAGGACGAGAGGGATCGAGGATGCGGCACCACTGAAAGTGGAAGCCCTCAGAGTCCCCAGGAAGTTCCCAGGGTAAGTCTGCTGTGGAAGGCTGAAGAGCTGGAGACCTAGAGTCTGATGTGCAATTGTGAGAGCGGGTAAGGATTGACTGGCTCAAGAAGACTGGAGCGCTTCCAAATTGGGCACACTTTCTTCTTCTTTTCCTTTTGATTCCATCCAGGCTAGGAGTTTGTGCCGTCCACAAGTGTGCCATCCCCTCTTAGTTTACTGGCCTACATGTCAATCGTCCACAGACACACCCAGAACTGTGCCTTATGAATCTGCTAGGCATTTCTTAATTCATTCCATTTGACCTATAATGATTAATGTTCACACTTTCAAAGATCGTAGAATTGAAACTTGTTCATATAAAATAGGGCACATGAGGGTTCTCTTTTCCTATCTCTGATACACATAGTGGTATAATATTTTTTAATGTTAGTGTTCCTGTAGCACACTGCTGACAAGGAGATAAATGGCATAATGTGCTTTTATTCTTTATTCTGCTGTAGATTTCCAAACACCCCACTGAGATCAGTTTAGTAAGGCTTCTAAGATTCTCCACTAAGTAGGAAGGAAACAACCCTTTTCATCTATGTTCCATCTTTTGTAGAACTTACAGATGAAAGAAGTAAGGTACAGACAAGTAGCCATATTGTTATTTAGTATGGTATAGACAGACAAGAATCCTTATATTTTATTTTGGTTTATTTTCCCTTAAGAACTACATTTCTGATTTTTGTACCTATCTGCAGAATATATAGGTATTGGAAAAAGTTTGATTTCAAAACTCAGTGATTATTGATTAATAATCAAATGGTTTAGAAGAAAACTTTCTTTTTTACTCTGATAGTATGCCATGTTTCTTTTTATTCTTTCTTTGTGTTATAATGATCAAATTCTGCTTTGTGTTGTTAGTGATTTTACTAGATTAACAAATCTTACACATCTGCTGGCCTTGCTCTTGGGTGTCTTATTGACTCTGATCTTGGAAGACTACTATATTCACTTTTGTACACTTCTGACCTTAGAAGATTCTTAACTGTGTACATGCTATCCCTGGGGAAGACCATCCTTGGATTCTTTTGGATGTTAATGAAATAGATATTGTTGAGTATTAATAGAGAAACCAAAAGCTTACACCCTCCCATTATTCTCTCTGAAATACAGTTGAAAGCCAGCCCTTGTAGTGTTTCCAGCCCTCTGCTTCTGGTCAAATTCAGTACTCCCATGCTTCTGCACCTCAAGAGGGGTGGAGCTGCTTTGGAAAAGGTAGAGTCATTTTACCTGAGCATGTAGTCACACCACAGAATGGCAGACATGCAATCCCGGGAGGCAAGTGTTCTAATCACATCTCTTTACACTTTCTTGCATGGAATCTGGGTGTCCATGGTAGCATCCAATTATAATTTCTTTTTTCTTTTTATAATTTCTTATTTGTGATGCAAGGCAACTAGCCTTTCCCTCATATTTATAGAAATATGAAATATCAACAAGCATGATTTCTCAACAAAAGATTTGCCAGCATTCTTTTTTCTTCCTTCACAGCAGATGGTAGTTCAGCTCTGGGAAGGGATGCACAGACTGTATCTGTTACCTTCTCGTTCCTATAGGAGGGTAATGATTACATGCCTCACCATGAGTATTGTGTATGAGATTTCCCATATCTCTCTAACGTGGTACTTGAGAAATGACTCTAATGACTAGAATACATGTTTTATGCATCTCACTTTTTTACTCACATAATATGCCATAGATTCTGACTCTATGATGATTTATAGCCTGGGCAAAAAACAATCCATTACTTTCCCTGCAGACCCTGTGCCCTATGAATCCAAAGATGTATCTCAGGGCCATATTCCCTCCATGGGAACTCCACAGACTTGCCAGAGCATCAGCATACAGTGTGATAAACTTTTAGCCTTTTGATTTCATCCTTGCCTCCTATAGCAGATACAATTGTGTTTGGAGCTAAACTACAAACTTTAGTGTGGTGTAGAGATTAGGTAAAATAAAACAATGCTTATCTCATGAGCCATACTTCTGGGCAAAGCTAGGTGATTTTTAAATATTCAAATTCAACAGAATTTAATGTATTTGTTTGGAACAAATGCCATAGACAAGGCAAGAATTAGTCCTTTCTACTTAGCAGAATCCATGAGAGTCATCTGGGTCTGTGTTGACAATGGTTACTTTTCTCCCAACTTCACTCCTAATTTAGTGCTTTCTGAAACCGTTCGTACCTACAATTGGACTGTTCAAAGAGGCAATTCACACAACTCCTTTTGGATGAAGCTGGCGAATTCTGTCAATAATTCATTGGTCTCTGACCATCTTGATGCTTTAAGAGAAGAGCATCTGCTCATCCTCACTGGTAGATCATTGATTAAAAATCAAATAGTCATGTCTGGAGAAATATAAGTGTCTCCCTGCCTATACACAATAAATCATGCCAGAGAAGAGATCCTTGGAGTATCCTTTGAAGTAGAGGACAGAAGTGATTTCCTGTAATGGCATCAAGTTTAGACTTTAATACAATATACAAATAAATAACAAATTCCTGAAGGATATTCTGGAACAGCTGCTACAATACTCA